TGTTTTGCTTTTGGAGTGGGCTTTTCCTGTGTATTTCTATTTGCAAGTAGGAAGTATTTCTGGGCAATGAAAGCACGCTTCTTTCAAATGTCACTCAAGTCATAATGACTCTGACTCTGAAAAGGGGTACAATTAGTTGCTCAACAATGTTAGTGGTTTGTTTTTACTGTGAAGTATTTCTTGAGTGGTACTAATGGAGTAATTGTAACAACATGAAAATCTTTATGGCTAAAGTACAGGTTCAATGTTCAAGCAGCTTATCTCCCGAAGAGCAATTGAGGTGAGAAAATAAGCAAGATGTCCAAAGCGAATGTGTTTCCAGACCCCCCACATGGGATGTCTCTGCATCAGAAGAGATCAATCTGCCAATGTGGTATGATCCCTGGAGCAGGAGTGCAGTGTGAAGAAGAGAAAGTGAGATCCATTGTTGTGATTACAACTCCTACCACAAAAACCCCTCTTGCTACAGATGTAATTCTGTCTTAAATTGCTGTTCATGATGCCAAGAAGTGTAATAATGAACAATAAAACCATACAATGAAAGCTGGGCTTAATGTTTAGCTAGATCTTGAAGATTCCCTCGCCCTCCATATAGTATAAGCTTTGTACACTATGCACTACGTATTTAGCATGTAAACCACAGACTATATCATTGAAATCCTAGGAGCAGTAGGTATCCTCTATGTATTATATTATGCAGCACATGCTATCTTACATAGTACAAATCAATTGTATATCATCTAGCAAATACTGTTCTTACATAAATTTCCTTAATAACACCTAGTATACATTGCCCATTCTGTATTATACCTGTAGATTGCATGTATACAGGACTATTCTTTGTGAGATGATAGATGCTATGTAAGATACATTTTATATATATTTATTAATTTTATTAAATGGATATACTACATAAAACACTTCTACAACCCTATCTGTGCCATGGATATTATATTATGTAATGTATTATATCATGCTACTGACACATACTAGACAAATGGATGCTGTAGTATGATGACATAATTACTATATAGTATAATACCAATATATTATGTATAGAAATAGTACACATATCAGAATATTATAGGATAGAGGTTCTATATGACATAATATAGGCTGTTCTGTTGTGAACAGATATAGCACCTAAGTTAGAGATATACTACATAAAATGACACTATTATGTTGTTACAGAATATATATATTTTTATATATCATACATTGACTATTAAACAGTACTAGTATATATATTATCTATAATGTGCTCTGTAGCACAGTATTTGTAGTAGATTGCTAGTATATATTATCTCCATACTCAACCTTAACTGTAATACTATAGTATTTACGAGGTATTATATATTTATTTTACACTATAGCCTTTACCTGTATTGCTTACAGAGTGTATAAAAATTAGTTTGATTTAAACCACATTTTCTATAGAGTACATGGCTTATCTAATTGACTTAGATATATGTATAATCTATAGTAATATACACTATGCCATCTAAAATATATTAACTACAGATCATCTGAAATATAGTATGTAGTTAATACAGTATATATACCACAGCATGTATTATGTAATGTATATCAGAGAGGCTACATCTACTGCATACCATACACCCTACATCTAGTGTTCTGTATTAGATAGTGTATACTCCATCTAAATTACGTATGTTGGATGAATTGCCTTTTACCTGTGTCTGTAAATATAAAAACGCATAAACAAGAAGGCCAGAGGTGAGGGTGGGGGCAAGAGGACCCTCCTCAGCTCAGCAGACTGGGGCCAAGGCCAGCGCCTAGGCTCTCCCCGTGCTTGGTCTGGAGCCTTCTGGGCGTCCCAGGCAGGTATGAGCTGCCCTGCTGCTCGGCAGCCGCCCGCCTCGGGGTGCCTGAACAGCCCCGAGGGCTGTGCTGGCGCAGGGGCACTCGGGGTGCCCTGAAGCTGAACCCCTCCTCCTCCAAACTGCTTTGGCTGGGGACAAGCAGTAATCGCCCCCTCCTCGGCACCAGGCCTCTCCCCTTCCCCGTCCCTGTGCCCCCAGGGGCAGAGGGGATGGGACTCACAGGACAGAGACAGCAGCTTTAATTTCAGGATGCCCTTTGGATTGCTTCTGGGTGCGTGGGTCTTTGCTGCTCATTAGGACCGTCTCATGATTTGATATTCCTGTGCTCCGTTGTTCTCTTTTCCGCTTTCATTTCAAAACTGATTTCCTGACTTGCTAAGGAGGGAGAGGATAAAAGAAAAAAAAAAAACCAAAAAACTTAAAAATCAAGTTTAGTCTTACATTTCCTATCCAGAAGGATATTTCTAGTGAGCAGGTGCTCGGAAGCTGGTGTGAAATGAGTGGGAGTTGGAAGCGCACAGCGCAGACCCACCTGGCTCCTCGGACCCTGCAAAACCCAGTGGCAGGGGTGGCACTACTTCCCAGGCTCCCACTGGAAAATATTAGTAAAAGCTTGCTCTGTTATTGCCTGAATTGTGCTACTTTATGACAGCAAAGCTGTTCTTGCTGGCTTGGCTTCCTTGCCCTTTTCCAGGAGCACTCATCTTGCCTAAACACCATTTCTAAGGGGTAAGGGGGGGCTTTTTTCCACTCTCCTCTGCTGAACACCGTTTCTCTCTGGTGAAAATCAAACTTGATTTCAGTTTTGGTGGTATAGTTTTTATGTGAGATATGTTCAGACACATCGTGATGGACTATACAACCTATGGAAAGAGCATTTAAAAAGCCCGGACTCTGTTTCCCCTACAATCTCACAACGGCCCTGCAATCTTCTCGAGTATGCTTACCTGGCATCACAAGAGACTCCTGCAAAGCTCCTCCAGCACTGCCCTCTCTAAAAGCTTGTTGAACTCGAGACAAGGCTTATTTTAGCCCAGAGCACAAGCCACTGGGGGTGCAGACCTACTGCTCGCTACACCAGCTGGATTCAGAGCCGGCTTCAGGCAGCGTGCGCCTTTGCCTGGGGAGCAACGGGAATGTGAGACGGATGGGCAGCAAATGCAAACGCTAACCCTGCTTTCCAACATCAACCACGTGCACAGATCTGTGCTCTTCTACCGAGGAGAGGGTGCTGCTCCGTAAGTTTAAACTCTAGAGAAACCTCCCTCCCCTGACTCATGCAAGTGCCCCCCCAGGCAAGGAGCCCTGAGCTGCCACGAGATGGAGCAGCCTCCCTGAGTACCTTCTCCATCGGCTGTGCTTTCATCAGGACTCTCTTATTTTTTTAAATTTTTTTTTTTTTTCTACAGGAATTCATTACGATAAATGTTTTATCAGTGAATGCCGAAGGAATTAACAGTGATTTGCCACATACTTTAAGGGGTTGCCGATAATTCTAATGGAATGAGAAATTAGGGTATTTAAATGTCTCCTGACACTTTTACTTCAGGCAGGGAAAAAAAAAAAAAAAAGCCCAACCCTAAACCCCAAGACTAATTAAAATCCCAAAGCAGAGTTTTCACCTTATGAGATAAATCAAGGTCATAAAGACCCCTTTGGAAGCTTCTGTGCAAGACAAGATGGGGTGTGTGTGTGTGTGTGTGTGTGTGTGTGTGTGTGTGTAATCAAAGCCAATTTAAAGCATGCACAGAGCCCTCTGAGAAGTGACAGGTTCACGTGGAAATCCTGAAATACAATCTGCTTCCTTGGGGAGAATCTGCCTGAGAAGGCTGAGCAGGAAAAGTAGTAACTGGGCCTCTGTTTCTGCAGACTTAGAGTGACCTCCAATGTTCTCAGCTCAGCAAAAGACTTCCCCAGGCACAAATATACTCCTTTTCCCAACAAGATCTGGATGGGGAGGTGCCAATCTGGCCAGCAGCAACAGGAGTATAATTAAGGATAGTTGATTGCTCATCTCACCCTAGCAGATTCACTTGCTCTTTGCCTAATGCACATTGATTGGACAAACACCCATCACGGCAGCCTCAAACACACGCCTTTCTTCATCCTCCAAAATCACAGAGGTTTTCCTCTCAACCCTGTGCTATTCAAAAAGGGTGGGACGGACAGTACTTGCTCCTAGGTGAGATATGAATTTATTTTTCTCCTATTAAACATATAAGCCTGCTGTAGACAAAAATGTTCCCTTGCAGCAGAAACAGGCCGCAGCATGGGGAAAGCAGGCACCTCTGTCTAGGCTGTACAGTTCTTGAGACAGTTCTTGAGATCCTACGCGATGTCATGTTGCAGCTATTGCTGGTATTTCTCCCTCTCCGGTTAGCTCGCTGCTACTAAGACCGTTCATGAGAGTTGGGTCCTGCATCCCGCAAAAGGGTAAGCATTCCCCCCTGCCACGTGCCTCCTGCGCCTTGTCCTCTTCCATTCGACAGTCAAAGGGGTACAGGCAAGGAAAGGTCAAATTTCAGAGAGGGAATCCATTCCTCAGAGAGCTCTGAACACACAGAGCCAGCCTCCTAACTTTGGTTATCAACAATTAAATCTTTGGCCTTGGGTAAGAATAGTAAAACAAGGTTGGTACAAGTGCTTTCAACTATGCTGGTGCCATGGGAAGAAAAAAAACACCTTCGCAATTTTTGCAGTATCTTCTACTCATTCAGTCTTGAAATATGCGATGCAGGAAGGGCAGATAACATCTAGTGCTCACTGAGTGTTCTATAGTATACCTGTGAGTTGCATGTATACGGTAGTATCCTTTGACCGATGATAGATGCCGGGTTTTACTACTCGTAGAACTCATGGGATGGGTTTTGTAACACCTCTGGTGCAGCAATGGGACCAACCAAGTGACCTCTTCCACTCCGACCTGCAAAGTTCCCATTCTTACCTTTCACTGATCCTGTCCAAAGATCCCTCTGATGTATCCACTTCTCACAAGACTCATCAGGTGAACTCATTCAAGCCATCACGCGGACGATAAATTTAAATGAGGCCCCAGCTGCATGCGCTGGTGACTGCATATCCAAACTAAACCACTGACAAACGAAGCGACCGCTGCACGATCAGCACAGTTAGGAATAAACACACAAGTGGCATCACTGTCTTCGGGAGAAGCTTTATTAACATTTTGCTTTAACAAACATCACAGTATGAAGGCATCGGTTCTTTAAGTTGGCACAGGCTAAAGGAAAAAAAAACAGACTCAGAGGCAAATTCAGCATGTAAATGACAGAGTAACAGAAGAGGCATGTGTTAACTGATATAGCTGCTAGACCATCTATTAGAAGACATTTTGCAAGCAACAGTCTATATTTCTTTACATTGAAGTAGAAACATATTTTTGGATCAAGAAAATTACCTTTTTTAATTTTTCTTTTTTTTTCTTTTTTTTCTTAAACTTTCCTTTATATCACAAATGTCAGGGTAAGGCAAATACTGGATGAATCATATGATAAAAACCCCTATTCCCCAAGAAAATAGATCTACATACTCTATTAAGTTTGTCATTTTCAAAGCAAAGCCGGCATGCACTGCATATAGAGTAAAGTATTTTTCTTCTAATATTTTTATTCAAGTGCCTAAAGCAGAACAGTGTTAATTCACAGAGGGGATTTCTCAGTGCTTTATAGAAAGATTGACAATTAGCTGCAGCAAATGTGTGACCCATTATTACAGACTATGTCTCAAACATCCCCTTTGGATGTCTGCATGGAAGGAAACCCATTCGTCATCAGAGCAGTCACCAGCCCAAGGAATGCTGTGCCTAACAGTAGGGATGAGCATTTCAGACATAGGTGAAACAACAACCAAGCAGACTCTCTTAATTTGTATGCAAACATCAGCACCAAAGGGCTGCTATTTCCTTTAGGGCCACCTATTGCAAACACATTTCGGGTTTAAACCAAAATCCTTGACACAAATCCCTGTGAGGTGATGCTTGCTTTTCTACAAAATCAGCTCCATGCATTGCTGCAGCTCCAGCAAGAGCGGTGGAGACTGCATCGAGGAGCATGGGTCCAGCCTCAACTACTAATGCATCTGAAGAGCTCAGGCTGCCAAGCTATGACTAGTGAAAAACCCCAACAACTCAAATCAAAACCCACCTGAAGACCAATAGATATAGACGCGGCTGCAAATTGTCCTGTAAGGACTTAATCAACTCCTATGTTTCTTTGCTTTACACTTCCTACCTGGACTTCACGCTTTGCCGCTGCATCCTTGGGCAAATGGTTCATGGTTTCAAAGACTTGCTGCTGCTGGATGACCAAAGTTAAATGAAAAGTGCAATGAACTTCCTGTCTGGGGATAGAAAGTGTCTAATGTGAAGCATTTTTGAAGTTAATTTTAAAAAAAATATTGGTCAAGTCTTCACAAGGAGTTTAAGGAGTCTCCCTTTGGCCCCCTTGCTAAAAGCAAGGCTGGCATTGGCGAGGGGGGCATCTGTAAGCAGGTAATGGCAGCCTACAGCTCTGTTAACATTGCTCCCGGGCAAGCATGATGGAAAGAAGAGCAGAGGGGAATGGATACTCAGTTGACTGAAGTTAATGTAGCCTTGCGGAGCTTAGTTCATCCTGGTTGACGACCTGGCCACCTCAGATCTCCTTGACATTTCACACGGCTCAAAGTCGAGCTCACGGAGATTCGTCCTGGTCCTGTGCGTCAGGTTCCCTCACTTACCTAGATGTAGGGAGCCCTACAATCCTGGTCTTTTCACAGTGACTGCACAAAAGGGGAATTGAGAGGGGGGACACCCAATGCATTTACTCCCCTTCCTCCCGAGGTATTTATTCGCTCCTGCACCACCTATTACGACAAGCTGTTTCAATCAAAATCACCCAGTACAGAAAATATACAGAAATATACGGGATGCACACCATGTAGAGGTACTACCTGCAAGGCCTCCCACTGCAAAACTGCAATTGGCTGGAAATGACCTCATTTCCAGGAATAAAAAAATCCGTGTCCCAAAAGACACGTTCTGTCAAGCATGTCCCCAGGGATGGGAAAGAAAAGCAGCAGAGGCACCTCAAAGGGAACAAGGAGTCCCTTCAAGGGTGCTCCGAGGCGAACAAGGGCCAGAGGAGTGGTATCTAGCAAATTTAGGTAAACTTAGCAATATCATAGGCTTACGTCACCTCATTTACTCCTTCCGCAGTTAATCCAATTCAGAGTTATGCATCCACTCCAGGACAAACGGGTGATGAAGCAGCTCCTCAAGATCTTCTCTGGTGCTCGTGTCACCTGGGTTAAAGCACCACAGGAGCACACAGAAATACTCTTCTTATCCCACCACGAGCAAACATGCTGGAGCTGCACATAGGGAGACAGGGGGCTGCCTTTCTAGGGGCCGTACTCTCTGAGTGAAATCTGGGGCTTTTCTTGTTTTCCTTTCTAATCCTTGTTTGTCCTGAACTCCCTTTTGAATTAAACTCCAGCTGATGGCAGCCACCAACTGCCGTAGCCAGCGGTAGGTGCATTACGGCCAAATTTGACTTGCTGTTACACCAGCAGACATTTTATCACCAAACCTACTCTAGCTGAGATAAACCCAGATCACAGGAGGATAGAGATATATCTTACCTTGTTTTTTAACTTTTTATTTTTTTGGGGGGCCAGCTAGTAAATAACTATTTTGGGATTCATGCATATTTGGGGAAAAAAAAAAAAAAAAAAAGAACAGAATCAATTACTTTGCTTAAAATGACCAAATTATTATCAGCAGCATTTTAAAATACAGTTTGTATCACATCACACCCTGGACAAAGGTTGCATGCTCTTCCATCGAGTGTAGTGTCTATCGGTTTTGGTTACAGCATGGCTGGGAAATGTATGTGAAACCCTTTTGTTCCTTTTCTAAAAATTTCAGCACAGCATTTGCTAGCAGAACAATTGGCATATGGTGAGAGATTCTTATCCAAATAACTGTTAATTGCTTTTTTTTAAAAATTAAAAAAAAGAAATCATGCATATGCAGTAGAAAATATAATGAGGGCTCACACAAGATACGGTGTGAAGTCGTTAAAGCTGGGAGCTGTATTTAAAGGTGCCTTGAATGCACAGTGCTATTATCCTCTGTCACTTGCGGGCTCGAGGAAATATCTGTTGCCTACCTGCACCGGTTCCGAGGTGCACAGATCTCCCTGGACAAGAGCAGGGCTGATGTGGGGCACCGGCTGGTGGGGGCCACGCACGTTATTCGCGAATAAGACCCCCAGAGGGACACAGCACAGCGCTGGCTGGCTGTGGTTTCGCCTTCCCATGCCACAGAGAAAGGCGAAGGGCAGAGCCACGGGCGATCCCAAGGCATCGGGATGACAGAGTTAACGTGCAGCCTCTGCTTCCAGCACGGACTCGAGGGAATCCGGCCAGCGCCCTTCTAGCAATCGGCCACGGCGACCTGCTGGGGGGTGCCGGCAGGAGCCACCAATCGGCAAGCCTGGAGGTGGGCAACGTGCGGCTCTGCCTCTATCAGTATTTCAGAGGTTTTGGAGCATTTAGTCTTTCAAATCCCTAGCACAAGGAGGGTGGTTGTTTATCAGTGTGTGTGGATTATAATCCTTTGTGGCAGTTCATGTTCTCAAAGAAAATCTCCAGTTATATCCTAGGGAACAGTTAAAAAAAAAAAAAAAAAAACAAAAACAAACAGGGGGGAAGGAGAATAAACTGGCTCCCACGGGTTGCCTGCAGACAGTACCGTAACTGTGAAAGAAGATAAAGATGCTACAAAAGGAGTGGGCCTAGAAACAGGTTACTGATGATACGATGCAGGAGAAAAAGAGATCCAATATAAGACAGGGACCCACAGTTCAGAAGAAACTGTTGTAATTGCAAGGATAATTGCAAAACATTGTTAGAACTGAGAAGTTATGTTTCTTTCCAACAGGCTTACAGAACAAAATGCAATGAAGAACAAAGAGAAATTAAAGCAAAGAGTCATTTCCCCAAAGCTCCCTCCCTCCCAACCCACGGAGCATCTCTGCGTGCTCTTTTCTGCCAAGAATGATGCCGTAGGATGTCAGTGCCTGCCCGTCGGGTTTCCTCGGGTCTCTCCTCTCCTGCATCCTTCCTTTGCTGCAGCAGGGGGAAAAAAAAAAAAAAAAAACAAAGGCAAAATTTCAAATGTCTGCACAGAACCCAGGTCTCAACTTTCTAGCACAGATGCCTACAGTTTCTCTTTCTATCACACATGCAGCATGTCTATGTGTCACACGGTTTATATATAACAGCCACTACTATCTCTATAGCAAATTGATTATGCTCATTAGGATTTCTTGGTTTTCCATAGCACTGTGCTACCTAGCTTGGTATCAGAGATCACTAGCTCTGGTGGGTGTGGCGGTGCTGGGCCACAGAATATACGTTAAAACCAACATATTAAAATACTGAACATATTAAGCAAAGGGATCTCCTTGGCTCTGAAAGACCCTAGTGAGACCCTCTGAAGTTTACGAGGCTGATCAACCCTCCCTAGGGACCCACTTCTTGCAATTAAAACAGCGGCAACGGGGTTGGGAGGACTTTGATAGAGACCTGTGAGGGATTTGATGCCTGCGTCTAATCCTGTGCCTGCCATTAAAACGCTGGGCAAGACATGATGTGCCCCAGCTCGGGCCCCTTTGCTTCAGAGAGGCGCTGGCAGAGTGAGGTCTTGCAGTGGAATTGAAGAGATTCATTAATTGATTGCTAATTGTGGTATTATTCCTGTGAACTTTGCCTTCATAAAGCAAAAACTACTCTAGCCCGGAACATCCACAGATATTCATTTCCCCAGGAAAATACCACAAGAAACAGAATTCCTACAGGCTGCGTGAAAGCAGTAACAATCACCAGGTAAGTTTTTTTTTTTAAACTGAGGAAGGGCGTTAAACTTCCATGTATTTTTAACAGTGAGGATTTCATTAGTTCCACTTCCTTTTTTGATTGAATAGAACATACAACCAGAAGCCAGGGGAGAGGGAAGGAAGAGTTGTGGAAGCCATATTTTAATGGCAAGGGCATCTTCTGGATTTGCTTCAGCACTTTTAACCAGGGACCCCATCACTCCAGCAGTACGGCAGCACATTGTGTATGTGCTGACAAGGACAAAGGGCTACCCTCAGGTAATAAGACCTTGTATTTTAACTCTCTGTGATACAGCTGCCATTGCTGTAAAGCCGCTATATTTGGTCTTGAGCTACATGAAATCCCATTGCAAGCACAAATAACGCATCTTGCTGTATATGATATTGGCATCTCGCGGTAACCCTACGCCAAAGGAAGTGGTGCTCATTAACGCTTAAAAACTACTTTTGAGGGAGAAATGGCAACTGCTTCTTGTCATTGGGGATAAGCCCCAGACTTCGGTCTTCCCTAACAAATTATTAATTTTTTATCTAGGAGTTTATGCCTAAAACAAACTCTGTCACAACAACAACCAATGTGTGCTCTGCCACAGCACTACCATTTAGTGTATAAAGCCATAAAAAGCTCCAAAAGATGGCACAGTTCCAGAAGACAGCTTGCTGACTTTGCCTTGTTTTTCAGTGGTGTTGCTACAAGTGACGTTAGGCACTGGAGAGCCAAGGGCAATAAACCCCTTGTGACATGAACCTGTTCTTCCCAGAATACAGATCGTACAGAACCGAGCTCGGTTCCAACTGGTATAAATTGCCTGTCATTTTCCTAAGCAATGCCAAAAATTGTTCACTCGGTTACTCTTCTGCTCCTTATCTTGGTGCTGTCTTGCCCTCTGATGATCTAAGATGGTGCACTGTCTAAATCCATTACAGTTGCAGACTGCTACTATAATATTTACTTGACAAATCAAGTCTACTGGATATTTTCATTTTTTAGTGCAATACAGGACATATTAGATAATTCCTTTTCCTTTGCATTCTGTCTTCCTCTTTTTTGGTAAATTCTATCTTTAATTAAGGTAATTTTTAAAGCAAGTTTTCAAACAGAAACTGAATGGAAAAGGGAGGAAAAATTAGCCATAAAGGTCTTACCTGTTACTTAAGCTTCCTGCTCTGTTTCCATAGGATCATTTATACTTTCAACTTGACTATTCATTTCAGCTGAAACCAAAACGAGACAGCCATCAAATTCTATTCATGAAACTTGTTACGTTTAGCACGTTGAGTAATAACCGCTTCTACCCCAAAGGGGACATTTATTGCATTAAGAATTCTATGCCATAAATGTGCAAAAGGGTCCCCTAGGCCAGCCATCCTAACCTGCAGTCCCATGGAAATCCTGACAAGCAGCCCTGGCAGGGGGTAGGCTTCAGCACCGCTAGAACTGCAAGCTTCTGGATACAGAATTTCCCTTCGGTCCACACCCATCCAGTTTGGCTTTGGCACCCAGCTGAGGTGCCCCCTTCAAGAGCTCAAGGACCCTCCTCTGTCTCTGTAGGTCACAGGCAGAGACACAAGTATCTCCAAAGAGTGATTTAGGGTTTTGCTGGGCTAAGTGGTCTCCATCATGTGATTCAAACATCTACAGGCTTCTGACAAAGTCCCCAGCAGGACTCGGGGCTGAACTGTGGGCTGAGTGCGGACCTACCTCCAGTTACAGAGGTGCTGCTGCTGCCCCTGGGTGTCCTTGCACTGCAAATTGCTGGAGTCTAGGAGAGGATTCAGGGAAACATTGCTATACTCCTACACACACTAGTTCACTTCTGTACTACCCATTTACAAAACCATTTTTTTTTTTTCATTTAAAATCACTAAAAAATAAGAAATAATTTACATATAAAGCTTAAACTCATTTCAGTGTGACCTTTGTCAAAAATACTATCTAATCTATTGCAGGTATGATTGGTCCTACCCAGGCTAAATATAAAATGGTTATTTCAGCATATACATTTTTAAGATTAGTATTTAGTATTTGTTCTGCAATGAATTTGAATGGAGCCATTTATATTAAGACTTTTTTTTCTTTCTTTAACCTTGCTTTATGTTGTGGTATCAATTGCAGATTACGAGCCATTTGACACTGGTGATGGGCAAACCCTCAAACCTGAATGGGAGATTTGGAAACTAAGGGAAGATGGGAGGGTGGTGGGGGGAAAACCCAAAAATCAATAACTACGATACTTCCAGCCAAGGCAGTATGATCTCTTTCTGAGTCAATGTCACGTCAATACACCTGTTAGGGTTTTGATGAATTATTTGTAAATTATTCATCATCCATATGCAGAACAGATACCATAATGGCTTCCTGGATGTATGCAATGAATAATAAGAAAAGTATCCGCTCCTGATTACGGAGCTCTGAGGCACATCGCGTTTAGAGATGTTGTGTTCTTTACACGCATTTGCATAGCAAAGACAGGATGCTTAATAAAAAATCATTAGGGGAAGGCTGCTGTGCACTGACGACAGCAGCCCTTCTCAGTGTTATTATGGCAGCCAGTTTCACTGGCTGGGCTTTCCGAAAATACCATAAGGCTTCACTCACATTTCACAGAGATCTCCTGCAAAACTAAAGCTTGATTTGAAACCCGAGGGTAGGCTCCCTCAGCATCCCAGATGAATACGCCTCCTTCTGCTTCCTTTTTTTTATGGCTACGAGTAGCTGACACCAGTCCGTCATGCTGACAGCACGTCACGTAGGGGGAGTCAAATTGCAAATCGCCTGGGAATGCTTTAAGGGCAATGCGAAAGCGCAGGGGAGCCCTGGTGGTGTGGGACCCGGAGCTCCCGCCAGCAGAGAAGCAAGAGGAATCATCAAGTCCCACTGTTTTGCAGTGGAAATGGCAGCCAGGCATCCCGTGTCTCCGGTGCAAAAAGCATCCGCCGTGCGTGCTGCAGCTAAGGCACCGGTGGGTTTCACTGCTGGCTTTTTCCTATGTGTTTGTGACTAAGCTCGGCTCTTTGCATTAACGCTGGCAGGCACAGGAAGGTCTGACTGAAGGATGAGCTCCTGCAGACCACTGAGTGAACCCCAACAACAGATGTCACTATGAGGCCACCTACCCAGTCCTCTGTATTTAGCCGGAGAATAACACAGCAGTGAAGCACCTACCACAAGAGCAGATGGAAGAGCTGCCATCGGGTACAGCGGGGATGTGACTCTCAGCCCTCGCTGCCTCCCAGCATGAGTTAGTGTCAGAATGGCATCGTTAGCCCTGGGCACACCAAATCCAATTGCATCTCAAGCCAAAACTGACCTTCTCCCCACTAACGAATGTTTTTAGAGATGTTAAACTGCTAACTTACACTACTGGTCTTTTTGTACCTACTGTAATACGCTAGAACAGCTAGCAGCTCGGCAAAGCACCTGAAGTTCAAGGACAGTGTGCATCTCGTAAATTCAGTTTTACGTGCTTCCCCTTCTGCAGCTTCACATGGGGCTTTTTATGTCAGAAATGGACATTTCTTTGAAATGGAAACGGACATTTCTCTTCACTATCCTTGTGTGTTTTCCCTTAAATTTTGGCCTGTTGCGGAGGACTTGTCTGCACTTCCCCTCTCAATCTCTGAGCTGCTTAGCAGCTCTCAAATTATGACCAGGGAAGGATTTCCTTCCCCGAAGGAAGCAAGTTCCCCACAAGAGGAGAAGAAATAGCCCAGCACACAGTTCACATCTGTCAAAGCACTGCAGTGGCTGCTGACCCAGTGGACATGTGTCAGCAGCCGGGCATCCCGCCTCTGCCCCGGCAAGAAAACTACGTGCTTAAAGGTCAGCTAGCCAGGAGTCACGGCGTGGCATCTAAGTAGAGTAGACAGGCAAATGGGAGACTGGAAAACCAAGTTTAGAGTTGTCTGCGAGAGAGCGAGCGTGTTTCCCCACCTCAGGGTATGATGCTGTAGATGGTAGATGACACCAAAATACTACCGTCCTGATTTAAAGAGGAGCTCGGTCAGACTCTCACTTGCAAACATAACCTGTTTCTGCAGCCACTTCCTAAACAATATTTCCCCCTTGCATCCACATAACTTGGCTATAGCACATTCAGCTAAAACTCCAGACTGCCTAGAAAGAAAATCATCTGTCTTGAAATCAACCCACTGTGCAGCGATGAAACACGTGCACCTGTTTACTTGGTAGTTACTTGTTTCTTGGCTATTACATCACCACCATAAAAAGCACGAGGGTGTTATTGTTGAGATCTTGCTTTCATATTGCTTTTGTGAATCACATGAAGGTCAGCTTGCTGATGGCGCATTCAACAGCCTGCAAAAGCTTATATAAAAAATGGGAAATTTCAGGTTTGAAATTTGCCTTCATCTTTTTCTTTTCTCTGATAGTGTCGGCAAGTTGGGAGGCGGCTTTCCACAGGCTTGAAATAGAAAAGGTGAATGAGTAACTCCATTATGAAAGGAGTGAAGAGTTTGATCCGCCTAATACCAGCTGGAAACTAACATCTACTTTAGTAATCTTTAAAGCTTTGGTGGTGTAAGAAAAAAAAAAATAAAAAGCTGCTGGCAAGGAAACACCAGCTAGGAAACGAATTCACCAAAGGTGGCGTTTGTCACCATTAAAAAATATTAATCAGCAAATCTGTCCTGGGTACAAGACATTAAATATCCAGGGGTCTTTGCTTTGGTGGCCGATGGAGATTGCCAGCAGCAACCTGTGTCTCTGCATACACACCCCTATTCAGGCTTACACACGCACCCTATGACAGCTTTCCTGATGGAGAATCATGCCCAGCTTTCAAATAATAATAGTTTCTGAAATATATGACTATTACAGCCCTGCCCACTAGATGAACTGATATCAAGATTCACCTACGCTCCCTAAAGTCTCTGCATTTCTAAAGCACTTTTCGCTGTGACATGGTACATGAAATTAAAACACAAGAGCCAGGCTGCCAAGGGGTACCTGGTGATATATGCTTGTGCTTTCAGCTGTGAAGCAATGAGCTCTCCTGGGGCGGAAGGAAAGGGACCACAGAAAAATAGGCAATTTACATAAAAATTACTGTCAAAGGGAATCTTTTTCTTTTCTTTTTTTTTTTTTTTTTTAAATCTCAACTAGCACCCAGTACATTTAAAAATTTTAGGGCTTATTTTCAGCAAAACTTAACCCTTCAGGTAAAACAGAGGATGGGGAGTTTTATCCTTCCTCTGTTCTTTTTTTTTTTTTTAAACACATAATATATGTCCACAAGAAAAAAACACCCTGCAATATGAATCCCAGTAGCAACTTAAGCTGCAGAGAAGTGAAGATGTCCCTGAACAGCAGAATACTTTTCTGCAGCCTTAGCAAACACCCTTTTCCTGTCCTTTCATACAATTTAGGAAGTTACAAGATGAGTTATGTGTAGAAGACCTTACAGGATAAGCAAGATTTGAAACAAAGAAACCTATCAGGATCATAATTTCAGAAGCTGTCTGCTGATCCAGCTGTGCTGCACTACAGCACATGTTACAAGAGCTATACAATTTTGTTGTTTTTTTTTTTTTTTTTTTTTTTTTTTTCAGTGGGAAATCTATTAAGATACTATTTTAGTAAACTTGGATTTGTTTTCACTAAGTAGCCCAGACCATACCAGGGATTTGAAATTCAAATATTATAATGTGACTATGACTTTTTGTTTTTTTTTTGTTTGTTCAGAGGATGAGGAGAGAAGGCTGGTTTGGCTTTATTCTGCACGCTTACTAGTAATAGCATAATCTCTAGTATTTTAAAAAAAGAAAATCCATTATGCATGCTTTCTTTTCCTGTGCTTGCAAAAACTTCCCTACAGGCCAGTATCTAAATCAGCCACTGATTCAAATGCTGCAGCACAATTTGACATCAGAGGAAGGAAATCAGCATTAGATATTTTGTGGAACTAATATCAAAAAGGATATAATTGTTTTGTCTTTGAGATGTAAAAAAGTATGCCTTGAATTTATATTATGTCAATGCCGAAGAGATTAAGGGAGTTAAAAGTCAGCATTTGCTATCGAGAGGAGTCCACAATAATAAAACGAGGACTGGAACCCCAATTCCAAACCCACTGCTGTTTGGAGCAGTAAGGAGGACCTTTTGTGTGAAAACTAAGAAAACCCCTTATGTAGCTCTGTTAAGCTGTAGGAGCCAATCTATTGGAGTGATAAAGGGTCCGCCTCACGAAAACCTAAGCACCAGGATGCTGACCCATCCATTATTTCTTTATACACAGGAACGCCCTAGAAGGACAAATATTTTTCTTTACAAATATGTTACTCACTGGAGAGCTCAAGCCTTTGGTACTCAGCCCTTGCCAGGACTTTGCCAGACAGTTGGGTCATCTGCTCACTGAGGTCAACGTCAAAAAAATTTCATTTCCAAGTCAGGAGATTCAGGCTGATAATGTCCATGAACCTGACTGGAACTGCCGTTTGGTCACCAAATTGTGATAGTTTTATCAATAGTACATGTCCTAGGGAGAGAACTTCTATCTGCTACCAGACTGAGCTACACATGGACTCTGAAGGACAAGGAGGAAGGGAAGTCAGCTCCGAGCTAGAGAAGGCCAACATATGAGTTCAGAGCGGTTATACAGTTAACGCCTGCCCCATGAGGGAGTTGGGCACTAGCACAGAAATTCTCAGAAATATCTTCTGACTCCTGCGTGAGAGCACATACATCTTGGCCAACCCAATATATAGATCAAAATTACAGTGGGTCTAATATATTATTTAGTTAAAAGGCAGCAAGACTGAACATACCAATTGAGCACATAAACCCAGTCAACTAGAAAAGCAGGGTTATGGCGCTAAAAGAAACTTCCAACTAGACTTCTAACACAGTAAAGGTTGTGTAAACTCTCAAGAAGACTCAGTTGAAGAGATTATAAATATAACTCTTATTCTGGGGGGGAGTGTACAAACAAACACCAGAAAGGCAGGCTATGTATCCATTTCAGTACAATTAAAATATTAGAACAACATACCATCCTTATTTGAAATGTCTGCTGCTTCACATACAAGGTCAACTTTCATAGGCTCTGCAGAAGTTTCCTCTTTCCCTTGCATGCCTGTAAGACAAGAAAAAGAAGGAGAAAAATCAATACTTATAGTACCTGATTAATGCATAATTCTCAGACTCCGGATGCCTGTTTTTTTTTATTTTTTTTCTGGCATGCTCTTACCTTTATAGACTCTGCTGCTCTATAGTGGCAGCCATTAGAGAAAAGGGCAGAGGATATAGGGGGAGGAACTTGGTTTGAAAATAATTGCTTGAATATTTGTAGTGATCTGCACTTTTTTCTAACTGGGATTGTTAAAAACACATCATGGTGTGTGCTTCTGCCTCCCTGCCATTCTTTTCTCATCATTTTGAAAAATCCTTTCTGCTCATAAAATGCGATATATGATGGGGACCTACTCACACTTATGAAGTTTCTCTAGCTAGCAAAATAAAAATAGATACAGTGAGAGTTCAAATGTACCAGGTAGTCAGACACAAACTAGAATTTGAATTTAGGAAAGTGCATTTTATCTCTGTAACTCAACATTTTTATCTCTTCTGCCTCAGGCTTGTCAGGAAGCTTAGATTCAATCTTCTAACAATATTTGAAATGGAAAAAAAAGCTGTTTTGCTGTTTTGTATACAGTTCTCCTACCATTCTGCCATTTAGAGTGCCAAAAAGCCAATTTTTAGTTAATTTCCATCATGCTACTTCTCTACTTTTGTGGCCGCTATGAAGTCTGTTGTGGCTATCCTGTGGTTAACTACAGGATGTCAAGCAATTGGTTGCTAAGCGATCCAGATATTTGGGTGGTTATTGAGAGACAGCAAAGTGTAGCAAGGACTGCAACATCTCAAAAACAGTTTACTCTTAAACTGAAATAATTTACCCCTTCAGCAACAGAGATTGAATGTTCATAGTCCCACAAACACCTCCTTTCCTTTTCCATGTATATCTAGAGAGTTGTTTGTTTTGTTTTGTTTTGTTTTGTTTTGTTTTTTTTTTTTTTTTTTTTTTTTAATGCACTTCAGTGCACTACAGTTATTTTGTCTGTAAACATGTATCTACCACTGAAGTTTTCAGCCAGTTTTCCTTCTAATCATATCTGCAAGCCAATACTTTGTCATTCTCGCAGGCAACTTCCAGTGCACTACCTTAGGTCCTACCAAGCACTGAAATGCTAAAAGAAGGACACATCACATATGGAAAGAAACACAAAATAGTCACTGGAAAACTCAATTAGCCACCTCAGCAAGTGTGGGGAAAAGTGCGATGGATGACTTTACAGTGATAGAGATGTCACCCATCATTTTAACAGATCTTACTTATAATGCAGAAATCCTTCAGTGGATTGTCATATCACCATTTCCACCTCTTCCTCACTGGTTTAAAATCATTTCCCCATACAAACAAAATGCCTGCAAACATCTGTGACTGTGAACCCCGCATGTCAGCGAATGCCTGAGATAGCCCCTTTGCAGGTGCGTCAAATCCCTGATGCTTCTCCAGGGAATTCAGGAGAGCGCATGTGGTTTTCTCCTGATGTTTCTTATGCACCAACAGGCCTAGGCTTTCCCAGTGCTGCCCACGACTTTTTTTGGCTCCTGCAAAGGATAAACTCATGTCACCCCATTGCAGAAGTGTCTGCACACGGCAGGAACTTGTCAAGTACAAGGTTGAGAATGTATGTTCAAAATCCCTGCCTGACTTCTAGAAAAATCAGTATGAAATCTGGGTGCCTATGAAAGCAGTGATTAATCACTGAAGATATGCTAAAATTCAGGTTGTGCTACATTTTGATTCTCTGGGGAAAGCAGTTCTCTAAAAAGCAAAATTTTGGAAAAACCGCTGTCTCAGCATGAGTGCAGCCTCCAGCAGATGCAGCCCTTCCCACCAAGACACTCAGATGTCTAATGCAGGGATTTGGGATCCCTGCTAAACACCAGTGCAATCTGACTGGCAGCTGATGCCTCTGAACCTAACTTTGCCTCCTCTACAACACCGTCTATTAGCCAAGTAAAGCAGATACGATACGACAGGTTATGTCTTGACTCCCAGTTTCTCTAACAGCTAGAGATACCTAGTCGCTCTCCTGTTGTCAGCTTCTAAAGATGCCTATGTGAAGTTCCCAGGCCATATCCCAAGATCTCCCATTAAATAGCTGGCATGTCTGGCTTCACCATGCTGCCAAGTCTTCTCGCTTGCAATTGCAGAAACCTCTCATGCAGCTGAGAGGTGCAAAGGATTTATCGGCACGGCACTAGGTGAAGACAGAGCCTAATTAAAGAGAAGATGTTTTGTGCATACGTGTGCATGTGTGTACATGTGTGCACATGTGCTAATTCAGGAGGCTGTTGCAGGGATGAAAGCAGAAGGCATCAAGGGCCCTCAAAACCAAAAGTCACAGGTTTGCCTCTTGGGGCAGGCAGCCCTAGAGAGAGGCTGGAAAGAGTGACAGCAGCAGCAGCAAGCCTGCAAAATTACTTTCCGAGAGGTTTAGGGCCATAAACATTGTCAGAAGAGCACTAATGCATGTTTTGCTTTTTCACCTTCTTTTGAAGTCTGAATAGCTGATTCCCCATCTTTTCTAGGAGGGGATTATGGCCATATCAGGGTTTTTTATAGTATATGTTTATTGTTGGATATTGTCATCAAGAAAATGATAGTGAGAAACAACATTCAGGGACAAGTAAGGCTGAAGTTGTTTTAAACCTTAACGTAGCCAAGCACCATTGCAAACACTGGGACGAGGCTTGCACATTATAGTGTCCACTTTTTGGGAAGACTTTCAAACTCGGATAATATAAATCTTCGTTTCTTGCCTCGCTATTACTGTGGGTGGGGGCCAGGAGCATTCCCTATACTGCCATGCATATGGAAAGGGTATTAACGAAAAAGCTTCTTCCCCGCCATGCAGTAAAACCGAGTGCTCCACAGAAATGAGCCCATTTCACCTAAACAGCAGAACTCGATCAATATCAGAACCACCTTGACAACCAATTTATTCTGGAGGCCTCCTCTCACCCTCTTGTTTTGATTGCTTCAGGTTAGAGCACAAACAAGCGAGGTGTTTCGGGTCTCCGAGCAGGAGCAGAGAGTTGCCGAAGGGGAGGGAGCCTGGGAGATACCACTTTCAATTTCAATTACCATTTCCAATTGCACTCCTGACAGAGCTTGTTACCTGAACCCTTGGCAGTCTGGTTACACAACCAGCCCAACACTAAGTGACAACAGGCTTCTGATGCAGGCAAGGATGGCTCCTTGAAATGCATGACAAGTATAGACCAGGAAGACAGAAATCTCTGCACTGCTATTTCATCTTTTTTTCTCCTTCACAGTCACAATCTGCCAATAGTTCCACGTGATTACAGCTAATACACTGTTCTTTCTCTGGAGAAATGTGGTTCCAGATTCACATATGATTCACAAGATTAACATGAAGATGTGGTGGTTGTTGGTACATTAGCATCAATTTTTAAAGTGCCCAAGTACAAAGGTCAGACATCTATTCTCCACACACCTGATAAATCCTAGTAAGTGTAACCTTCCTCCTTGTCCTCCCTTTGCACAAGGTTTACATCTATTTCAAGTGATAAAAGCAGGCAACTATGTAGGCTTAGAGGCTGTGACACAGAGCAATCTATAAAACTAATTTTTGCCTGATCATCAGCCAGGCTTGGCTGTGCACTGAAAAGCGCTTTTGTAATCAGGAGAGAGACGCAGGCTTTGCTCCCAGGTAATTCAAAGCAAAATCAGAACACAGTCTCCCTAGAATTGATGAATCATTCTTGGAAGGCACCTAATCTGGGTTTCTGCTCTGAGCTGCCCACCTTAAGGGAGTTTATTTCTCTTTGCTGACTATTAAGGGAGCCTGGGAGATTGGGCTCCCTCAGCAGAGCCCGGCCTTCGAGACCAGCCTTGGCAGAGTCCTCGCACTGGGTGTGGGTAAGGGATTGTCAAGTGGGCTCTGAATCAGGAATCTGGATTTCTGCTCTTAGTTCCTAGCTTGTTATAAGGTCGTACACTAGCTTTAAGACAGACAGAAAAACAGATTTTGTGAATACATGAATTCTGTCAGTGCAGTCAGGCAATACCAAGATAACTTAAATCTTAAAAATTCCCCAATTTCAGAAGTCTTGCAGTTAAGTGGAAAATCCTCGCCCCAAGATCATTTTGAATATTTGAGGAAGAAAAGGGTTATCAATAATACAACAGTCCAGACAACTACTTCTATTTTTACAGGCAAAATGGCAAGGTCATTACTTCTGTAACATCTCTGCCCAGCAATTTTGGGTGTTGCCACAGGAATTCCAATAAAATACTATCCTGTCCATGGACAATTTGCGACCAGGAGAAATTCATTGCTTGCAAATTATTTGTAGAGCAGTTGCTTCTACTCATGTTTGAAAAAAATCACCTCTGTCATTATGCAATATGAAAACCACATTGCAGCTATTCTGAACGACCCAGATTTCCCTGATTCATACTCACTGAATAAAATTTATTATTTTGAGTTTAGCTGTAAATATGCTTCCCCTAATTGGGAGACTCTGAAAGATGGAGGCTCATTAAAATCCAAATTTCTCTGGTTAAAATTTGAAGGCTCCATTTTTCATCTGCAGCAACAAAAAAGAGAGACAAAGCTCTTCTGACCCACAGCTGCATTGTCTTATCTGTCAAAACCAGTTCCATTTTTCTTGCTCTGCAAATAGCCAGAACTGTTTTTTTTCCTTCTTCCCAGTCATTTCACTGCAGCTCTTTGCTAATGTGACTGTCAAGCCTTCATGTAATTTGTTTACTGCTGTACTTTAGTGGCATTATAAATGCTGCTTCACTTAGAAACTGAAGTAGTCCATGATACAAGCGCTCAGTTTGACTCCTGTCCGACACCTCCATCTGGGATGACTCACCCTTTTAACCACACCAGATTCTACCACATAAAAGATTTAGGCTGTCTTCTCGTATGGCTCTACATGCAAACCCACCCAACCTGCTGCTCTCGGGGCTCTAAAACAAACACAGCAGTCGTGGTCCATCTGTACTTTGTTGTGTTGAAGCTGGCGGGC